CCAAGATGTAGAAGCAATGTAAATGTCCATCAATAGATGAATGGATAAAGATGCCGGGTATGTATACACACACACACACACACACACACACATAACGGACTACTACTCAGCCACAGAAAAGCATGAAATTCTGCCATTTGCAACAATGTGGATGGACCAAGAGAGTATTATGCTTAGTGAAGTAAGTCAGACAAAGACAAATACACTGTATTGTCATTTATATGTGGAATCTAAAAAGTAAAACAATCTCCCTTAGCTCAGCTTACATTAGCAATGTTAATCAGGCATCAACTGTATTCCAGGGGCTGTGTCAGAATCTAGGGAAACAAAGATGAATGAGGTGAATTCCTGTTCCTTTGATATCAAAAAGAGAACATAAGACAGCTGATTGTGCATCAGACAAGAAATGCAGGCACTTGTTGTTAAGATTCAGGAAACAGACTGAACACATGACAGGCACGCCTAAAAGAACATGTTGTGTTTTACAAACTATAAGACGTTTGAGAACAAAAGTGCTAAGGTGGGAATATCTGGCCCTGATGCTGGAGAAGTGGGTGCTGATGGGGAAGCATGGGTAGGACATCAGAGAGCTTTATGACCAAGCTAAGGACGTCGTCTTTGTAGACGGTGAGGAGAAAACAATGAAGCGTTTTAAAGAGGAGAGTGACGGGAGCACAGTAGTATTTTCATTTGGGGGGAATCTAGGAAACAAGCAACACAACATTTATTAAGTAGAAAAACAGAGGAAAATATGAAGCAAACGTGTAAATAGCTAGCTAGTGGGAAGCTGCCGTATAACACACGGAGTTCAGCTCTGTGCTCTGTGATGACCTAGAGGGTTGGGGTGGGAGGGGATATATGTATGCATACATCTGCTTCACTTTGTTACAGGAAAAACTAAAGCAATTACACTCCAATTAAAAATAAATTTAAAAAAAAGAAAATATTAGGTAAGAAAAAAATGGAGGAGGACCAGAGGGAGGCGGAAGAGACACAAATGCTTGCAATGCATCCACTCCTAGATAAATACTTCTACTTTGTGTCTGTATCTCTAGATATTTTTCTTTTCAGATTATTATTGGCCACATAATCTCAGCCCACCATGGGGACATTTCAGTCTAATCATGAACCAAAAGGGAAATGCTCCAAATGTCAAATATGTTTCATGTAGAGTCATAATAACTGCTTTAGTATGCTCTCAGTTCTGCGCCCTCCTGTTACCATGACAACCTGTACAGCAAAAGGCAAGGTTGATCAAGTTGTTTTGATCCAGAAGCTTTGCCTCGCTGTTTGAGGCTTCAGATTTTTTAATATCAAATAGACCACAGATACCATTTGTGTATACTCTGTTATAAATTAGAATATTAATTTATCTAAATTTCATATTTTAATATAGCATGTTTACCTATGTATACATTTATGGGGTCTAAACCAGCCCAACTCACAGAGGCTTCTGGGTCTCAAAAGAATCTGGCAATAAACAACAGGGAAAAAGGAAAACCATATTACACCAAGGCAGAATAACAATTTTGATGTTCATTGTTATTCTGCCTTAGCATAATATCACAAGTACAAAATGTAAGAATCAGGTTAAAGAAATAGCTGCCTAGCTCTCTCAAACACTATTGGGTTATTAAACCTTCATTTGATTAATATTTGATCTATCTACTGTCATCCCTGAAGTCTGAAAATTACTAACACTTCCTTCTTTTATCTCTTTGAAAAAAGTACACATATGTCACATATTCCTGTATTTTATGGGATCATGCTGTACATCACTTTTGTAATTACTTATTTACAAACTGCTTTTTACTCAATAGTGTAATATGAGTTATACTATCAATAAAAAAATCCCATGCCATTTTTTTAGCTACAATATTTTCCATCATGAGGACATTTTATTCTATCCAACTCTATTTTTTTAACATGCTGGGTTTTTTTCAATTTTTTCTGTTATAAACAACATTGCAATGAACATCCCCCTAATTATTCCCATATGGATGCAGTTCCTTAATCGTGTCCAACTCTTTGTGACCCCATGGACTCTATAGTCCATGGAATACTGGAGTGGGTAGCTGTTCCCTTCTCCAAAGGATCTTCCCAAGCCAGGGGTCAAACCCAGGGCTCCTGAGTTGCATGCAGATTCTTTACCAGCTGAGCCACCAGGGAAGCCCAGTATAAATGTCTAAACTGGAATAATTATACTACAAGCCTTGCTTTACTTCCAGCATTATCAGCCTTCTTCATGTAACATGCTGCTCTAGTTCTCACTACAAGCTCCTGTGCTTAGTACGTGTTTTGCCTGTAAAACTTTGCCTGATACAAAAACAAAAATAACCCTTTAAGTAAGTTAAAACCCTTACTCTGTGCTGAGTACTGATTAAGTACTTCTATTTACTTATCTTCAAACCAATGCAATGGAGGAAGTTCAGTTACGAGCCTCATTTTACAAATGAGAAGACAGACACGGAAAGAGTAAACTTCCCCGAGTTTACACAGCAGGAACTAGCTCCAAAGTGGGCCCAGAACCTGTGCTTTTCAGTCACTGCATTTTATTTGGCATGACTGTAAAGCTCCTCATCATTCAGGCTTTATGTAAAATATCACCTCCTCATAGGCCTTCCTAGACCACTGTTACTAAAGTATTCCATCATCAACAAGTCTACAAATAATAAATACTGGACAAGGTATGGAGAATACTCTTACACTGTTGTTCGGAATGTAAATTGGTGCAGTCACTCTGGAGAACAGTATGCAGATTCTTTTAAAAAATAAAAAAATAAAAAACTAAAAATAAAACTACCGTATGGTTATTTTTAAAAGAGTGTGATTATGTTGAACATCATTTTAATGTGCATTTCCTCACTTTATGTTTTTTGTTAAAGGTTTATTACTTGTTGCTTATTTTATATTTTAGACTATAGAGGTGATGTTAGGCAAAAAGCAAATTCAAGCGATTTTTTTTATTCCAGTTAAAGATAGGTGGTAAAGCAGAGGAGACCATTTGTATCATCAACAATGCATTTGGCCCAGAACTTCTAACAAATGTACAGTGTAGTGATGGTTCCAGAGTTTTGCAAAGGAAACGAGAGCCTGGAATATGAGGAGCATAGTGGCCGGCCACCAGAAGTTGACAATGACCAGTTTGAGAGTGTTATTGAAGCTGATCCTCCTGCAACTATGTGAGAAGTTGCCGAAGAATTCAGCACCAACCATTCTATGGCAATTTGACACTTAAATTGGAAAGGTGAAAAAGCTCAATAAGTGGTTGCCTCATGAGTTGAAAATCAAAAAAAATCATTGTTTTGAAGTGTTATCTTCCTTCTTTAACCAAATAAGGTAATTATATGAATCAATATGGGGCTTCACAGGTGGCGCAGTGGTAAAGAATCTGCCTGTCAATACAGGAGACATGTGTTAATCCTTGAATCAGGGAGATCCCCTGGAGTAGGAACTGACAACCTACTCCAGTATTCTTGCCTGGAAAATTCCATGGACAAAGGAACCTGGCAGGCTTGGGATCGCAAAGAGTTGGACATGACTGAGCACACAGCACACACAATAGAATCTTTAAATTCCTACTGACATCAGCATGTTGCATTGAATACAGCTTAAAGTATAGCTCCCTTTGCCTTTGTCAGAACGGTGAGCCAAGAGTAGGCATATCCATACGCACTTCTGGAGGTGTGTGGGCCCATTTTATCAAAAAGTAAAGCTTGCATGGGGAGGATGACAGATAAATAAGTGGGAGAGTAGAGAGTCACTGTGGTTTAGGGTGAAAATCTGTTAATTCCTAAGACTGGCCTAGTTATTCGTATATGAGGAAGAGAGTGAGGCCAGAGGAAGTAAAAGAAAGCTGAAGCGGAGTGAGATGACTGAGGCCAGAAGGAAAGAGGACTATGAGTGCAAGCTTCCTTCAGCAAGTAATATATGCGATGATATTCTTTCATTTATCAGCTATCAGGTGCTCATCCACTGGAGGATACAAATAAATATGCTGTGACATCTAGGAAGGAAATACGAAATTCAACACCAAACAACTGAATAAGTTATATCAGAAGACAAAATGTAAACTATAAAAGGTATAGTTCACTTATAGATTACACCTTGCAGATAACAGAAAGCACTCCAGCTATTTTGAAGCAGAAGAGTATTTAATGCAGGGAAATGGGTGTTAACAACAAGTGTTGAAAGAGGCTGGAGACTGTTCCTCTAGTCTTTGCCACCAAGATTGACTCCTGGCATCAAATTCAGAATTCCTGTCTCAGTCAGGAAGCTGAGAAGTCAGGAAGCCGTCACCAAATCTGATTCCCCAGAGAGTATAGTGCTTGCTAGATCCTAAAACAGCTAATTCACACGCTGCCATCTCTCTCTCCCACTCAACTCAGGAATTTACTCACAATCTTAGAAACCCCGTTTTGGGTCACAGTCAAAGAGCACTGGCTGTTCAAAGGGCATGCCCTTAAAACACAGGCACGGAGATCTCAGGACACAACCAAGAGCTGATGGTTAACGTGGAGGTGGTGAGGTCACATTAACATGAGTAATATGTTAAGATCCAGCTGAGGCATTAAAGGAGGAAGGATGGGGGTTGAAGAGCAGGCTCCAAGTCAAGTTACTTCTTCTAGTCACTTGTAACAGACTAGTCAGATCTGGCCTGGCAATAAGCCAGTTTCTTCAGCGCCCCTTTGACCTCTCGGTTCCTTAGACAATAAATGAAAGGGTTGAGGGCAGGGGTGACAATGGCATAGAAGATGGAAATAACTTTGTTCATGTTGAAGGTGTGAATGGCTCGGGGCCGGGCATACATGAAAATCGTAGCTGAGTAGAAGATGGTGACCACCACGAGGTGGGAGGCACAAGTAGAAAATGCCTTCTGCTTGCCCGTGGGCATGCGTAGAACGGTGGCCAGGATGCATCCATAAGACAGGATAGTGACAGTGAGAGGGAGGAGGAAGATGACCAGTGCCAGGACAAAGTCCACCAGCTCAGCTGTGGACATGTCTGTGCAGGAGAGGTTAAGTACGGGAGAGATGTCGCAGAAGAAATGGTTGATGACATTGGGGCCGCAGAAGCTGAGGCGAGAGATGAAGTAGGTCTTAGCCAAGGAGATGCCAAAGCCAATGGTCCAGGAACCAAGAGCCAGGCGGAAGCAGAGCCCGTGGCTCATAATGGTGGGGTAGTGCAGTGGGCAGCAGATGGCCACGTAACGATCGTAGGCCATGGCGGCCAGGAGCACACATTCCGTGCACATGAGTGCAATGAAGAAGTAAAGTTGTATCATACAGTGAGCGAAGGAGATGCTATTGCTCACGGACCAAAAACTAAACAGCAGCTTGGGTACAGTCACAGAGATGTACCAGGTCTCCAGGAAGGACAAGTTGGCCAGGAAGAAGTACATGGGCTTGTGCAGTGGCCGGTTCTGCTGCACCAACAGGATGATGGTCACATTTTCAGTCACTGTCAGAATATAGGCCACGAGGAACATGAGGAACACTGCTGCACGCATGCCCCAGCTCCCAGGGAACCCCACCAGGATGAACCTGGTGACCCATGTCTGGTTCTCCACTTCCATATTGGAGACACAGGGCTTAACTCTCCTGGGAGAAAAAGCTACTGGTCAGACTCCATGGTCCAGTTAGAACCTTCCATCTTTTGCCTTCTTTAACTAGTAACAACAGTAACAGATATCATTTTTTAATAGTGCATTATATGTCAGATCATACACTGGGTCCATTATGTACACAATGTAATTTGATTCTCACATAGCCTTTTTATACATCTTAGTAATGAAGAAATTGAGTTTGAGAGAAGTATTAGTAACTTACCACATTCCCACTGACAGCAAGGCAGTTACCTAGTTACTTAGTTCAAGTCTAAGTCTAAACAGTATGCTCTATCTATGACCCTACACTGTCTTTCACAAGCACATCCAAATTAAACAGTATCAAACGGCCATATTTCATATTACCATTGCCAACTGTGAAGGATGCACCTGGCTTTCCTGGCCGACCACCCACCCAGAGCGCTGGAAGTTCGGCCTTTACAACACTTCTCTCCTGTGCTATCCGTGGAGACAGAGTGAAACCTGTCGTTGTCTGCGAGCTACATGAGAAGGTGAGGTGGGGAGAGCTAGGCTTTCCAGTATTAAAAACCTGGACCTCAGTCGTCAACTGCTATATGGATCTTAAAATCTTAAAAAAAAAAAAAAAAAACTTATCATCTCTGAAACCCAATTTCCTCTTCTGCAAATGCAAATATTAATATTCATTTAGCTTATGTCAATGTGGATCAAAACTGAAATGAAACAATGTAAATAAAATTGTATATAAACTCTAAATGACAGTAAGTGTGAAAGGGCTCCTCCCCCATCTCAGGGCCTTAAAAGATAAGGATGGGCTCACAGGAGTGAGGAGAGTGACTGTTGTGGGCCAAGCAAAGTAGTCAGCAGACATGAGCTTCCTCCTGGGGAGATTGAAGTCCTTGGGGGTAGAGGTGAGAGTCTCTTGGAGGAGATTTTTTTAAATTAGCAAACAATAAGAAATACATAATACATAATAAAATTTGAGACATTTTCTATGAAGGCTAAAGAAATGATACTCGTGTGATGGGGGAAGGTCTCTCTGACCTCTGAGGAGGTGACATTTACACAGAGAAGGATGCCAGAGCCCCAGCCCTCTGAAGAGTGAGGGGGGAGAGAGCTGCCCTGAGATGAGGCATGCCTGCTGTGATGGATGCAGAAGGAATGGAGGAAGAGCGGGGGAAAGGCGAGCAGGGCCAGCACGTGTAAGACCCCACAGGTCATAATACGGGCTCTGCAGAGTGGTCTAAATACCGTGAGAAGCAAGTGAAAGGCTTAAAGCTGAATAGGAGCGCAGTATGACTCACGCTCGGAAAGATCACGCTGACATTGCAAAAGACGGTGGGAGCAAGAGTGGGAGTTGTGAGATTGCAGGTGGCTACTCAAAGGTGACGGTGACCTTGAAAACCTTGTTCCACGGAAGTGAGTGGACTCCAGATATATTTTCAAAGCATCTTTAATGGTAATTGATGGAGTAAATATGGGAGGAAAGAGAAGAGAGAAATCAAGGAGGAATTTCAGGTATATGGCTTACTATATGGAAGTGATGCCATTTACCATAATGGGAAAAACTTTGGTGTTTACAGACACATTTCTCATAGTTGAAGAGATGGCAATGGGCTAGAATCTGTTAGGGTTTTGTTCTGATGAGTTTTAACTTGAAGCCTGAACAATAAGTCCAGAATTTTCTCTAGTAATAATTTATCAGTTATTACTAGGTACTGGGAAACTTGCTAAGTATCTTTCAAATATGCCACTTAATCTACAAAACAAATGAATGAGGCACTGTTATTCTAATTTCACAGAGGATACTTCAGACTGATTAAGTAACATTCCAAGTTTGAAAGTGATGAAACCCGAATTACAGTGAAGCCATCGTCTGTCTGACCAGAAAAACACAGCCTCAACCACAACACTGTCTCACATACAGATCAGGAATACCAGATTTTGCACTCAACACCACTTCTTAAATATTTAAAATGTCTGATAATTTTAGGAAATAGTCTCTAATTGTACTGAAATTTCATTGTTGGCACAGGCTTTTAAAGATGAGCCCAGATTTCTACAAATGTGACAGAGATGCCTGTTCAATTACTCATATAAAACAGAAATGAATATATAGAAATGCTTGGTAAATGTATCAGAGAAGAGAAAATCATTACAATAAGGATAAGTTTGACAATAAAAATAAGTTAGAGATATTTTAGGCAGATGAATCAGAGTGAACAAAGGCAAAGAGATATGAAATAGCCTGACATTTTCAGGGAAGCATCTCATTAAGACCTACTTCCTCTGTGAGTGGGAAAATTATAAGTTAATAAATGAATAGAAACAGAAAAAGAAAGGGGAGGTAGAAAAGAGAGAGAAAGGGCGTGGGGAAAGACAGGAAGAGATAGTGTTAAGGACCAGATTGTAGATTCCTTCATATGAAATATTAAGGTATTTAAGAGTTATTCTATATTATAGACAATATGTAATCATTGAATGTTTTCAGCAGCTGATAACATCCTCACATTCCACCCTGGTTTTTGTTATGGGGGGCATGGATTTGGTTGGATCAGAGTTGCCAAATCAGAGATTAAAACACCAGTTGGAATACACCTTCCTAGCTAACAAAGACACACACAAAGAAAAGAAAAATCACCCCAGTTACAATATTTATTAAAGAAAAGAAGACAAACATATTTAGATATACTTGTTCACAAGTCATATGAGTAACTTTGCACTCCTAGAGGAAGCTCAACAACGACAACATTTTTCCTTATTTCTCATCCACTAAATGAAGGGTGCAAGCAGTAATTATTGCACATGAAGAGGAGGACTTGACCACATGCATTTTCAATGTATTATTTCACCATAAACTTTGTGGACCTTTACACTCATGGTAGTTTCTGCTCCACTACGGTGTACTCAAACTTCTTACCCCCTCATTTGAGACCTTTACCAATGATCCAGAATCAAGCATTTTAGCTTCTTCTCTCCATTCTTGTGCCTGCTGTGTGTACACTTTCACTTAACTTTGTATGGATTCTGTACAAGGGTAGGATCCAAGTAATTCAGATATGATAGAAGCATAACCTCCTTCCCTGTCAAGACAACAGCAGTTTTTGTAACCACCATCACAAATGAATTGCCAGGAAGATGCAGAAGCACATTGCTGTCAGAAGGCACAATAAGAAACTGCAGATTGGGATCAGAGCCTGGGGTTTTTATTTCTAACCCAATATCAAGAGATGCTCCTCAAACGTAGTAGGAGGAATGTGCTTACTGCATATCTGGCTGTACTTAGAGCTCAGAAGATGAGATTATCACCCTGACTGATTGCTGGAGATTGAGAGTGGATAGAAGAAGTGTGACAACAGAATTAAATGTTTAATATTTAAACATCACTGTGTCATATGAACCTGAAACAGAGCTGAAATTTCATTATTGCACAAGCTATTAGAGATGAGCCCACATTTTAAGAAATGTGACATAGATACATATTCTGTCATACATGTAAGACAGAAATGAACATACAGAAATGCTTGGTCAATGTATCAGAGAGGAGATAATCATTAGACTGAGTCCTACAACAAAAAGTGATGTTCTGAGAAGGGACTCTTACCTTGGCTCAGCAGCCTCTAAGTGGCTGGAATGTGAAAAGAAATTCTTCACTGATTCTAAAATAGGAAGAAGTAGAAAAGAAAGATTCAGGTATTGGATAGATGTGAGACGCGCACTCTCTAAACCTACAATGGGTGAATGGGCACAGGTTACCCAACTGCTTCCAAACTGATAGTCAGGACTAGAGGAGAGGTGAGTCCTGGACACTAGGAACACATTTGTGCCTGATGCAGCTCCAGGATGGCTCTCCCAGTATCCCGGGGCCAGAGCACCCATTGCCTTCCTGCAGGAAGCTGCAGTGGTCTTAGGCACAGCACCCTGTGAAGATCTTCGGATTCTGAGGGTTTTATATGGTTTTAAGACTTGCCCTACATCTCTGCAAACACCCAGGAGAAAAGCACTTTGAAAAGGCAGTTCAGGTCTCTTCTGGGAGCCGTGAGAAATTTCTATTCGCCTGTTGTGGTAATCTAACTTATTTTATACAGTATTAGTTCCATAGGGGAAAGAAATCCTTGCTTTGAAAAGAACCACCTGTGGTTTTATTCTTTGCTGAAGCACGAAGAGAAAAAAAAAATTACTACTTTTAAATCTATTTGCAGATTTTCAGGATGGCCTGGTGGCTCAGATGGTAAAGAATCTGCCTGCAATGCAGGAGATCCGGGTTTGATCCCTGGGTCAGGAAGATGGCAACACACTCAGTATTCCTGCTTAGAGCATTCCATGGAAGAGCCTGGTGGGCTACAGTCCATGGGGACACAAAGAGCCAGATACAACTGAGGGACTAATGCTTTCACTTTTCATAGATTTTTCAATTATTCAATCTTCAGTTACTTAAAACAGGACAATTATATCAGCACTCCATAGGAGATACTAATATCCAAAGTAAACACATTGCTACATTTTGTAAAATTTTGGTTTTTGTTTAAATGCTTCTGCTGTAATTGTGTGCTAAATAAATTTATCATAATGAGATCATTACTTTGTCTGTCAGCTGCCTTTGGGAACCACTTGACCAGTATTTCATGTTCTAGGACAAAGTTTTAGTTTACTGAAATCACTTCTGAAATCTGAAGAACTCTTAAGTAACCCTCACAGAAGCAAAAGCTGTCTAATTCA